TTTTTTTTTTTTTTTTTTTTTTTTTTTTTTTTTTTTTTTTTTTTTTTGTGTTCCTGCAATGAACTATACTAATTTAAGCTGTTAGAGGGCATTGTCTTTTTCAGAAGCAACTCCCAAGTCTGTGTTAAGATTGATGGGTTTAAAGGGCTTGACTTTGTACCACTTGAAGAGCCATTTGCAGGTAAGTATTGAAACCATTGCTTCATGATATCTCACTTGTCTTATTATGGCTTGAATGGGAATGAAATGACAGAACTTTTTAATCTTCAGAAGTATAGACTTGGACTGCAAACACGAAAGCAAAATGTGGCTGAGCAAAGGAATGAAAACAGCGGTAAGTCAATCTGTCTGGACATAGGACAATTTGTAAGTACCTCTTTTGATTGCATTTGCTAATTTTACCCTAAAGACTGTGAATTCCCGGAGTACATATATTTTGATAATCTTTCTGGATCTGTTACTTATCAAATAGTTTGTTATTCTTCTGAGCATTGACATTTTACTAGACGCCATCTGGTTTTAATTCGTATATTCTCTTCTTTGCATCGTAGTGTTTAACTCTAGAAAGCTCATTCATAAATTTTAACAATAAAATTTTCAGGGACAATCAGCAATTTTACAGTTGAGGAAGATGACAGGTCTGTCTTTTTGTATCTCATCAATGTTCTTCTACATGTTCGAATTTTACTGACATTTCAATGGCTTCAATAGTATTTTTGCAAACATATAAGTTAGCGTTATATTGATTTTTTTTTTATTCTCTCATCATGGATACTGAAATTAAATCAGTGAGAAAAACTAAGCATCTTGTTAAGTACAGTTTTCTCAGAATTCGAAGTTCTCCTACAAGCTAGGTATGAAAATAAAAATAACAAAAGGAGGCAAACGTTCTTGAATGTGTGATTATCTATTGCATCATAGTATTCCATTTTATATATAAATTGTCAATGTACCTTCATTTTATATAATGGTCTTAACTTAAACAGAGGGATGCAAATTGCTGAGGCACTAAAATCACATGTTGAAGTGCAGAAAACAATACTAGAACAACTCGAGGTATATCTTGCTTAATTCTTCTAATTATAAGAGATTCGATCTCAAGTTTGTGATCAATTGTCATTTTGTTGGTTATTGTAAAGACAGGTACAAAATAAGTTACAAATGAGAATAGAGGCTCAAGGAAAATACTTGCAAGATATCTTAGAGAAAGCACAAAAGAGTCTGGCACTTGCCATTAACAGTAATCTTGGAAGTCTTGAAAACACGGGAATGCAGTTACTAAACTTTGACGCGGCTCTGTCAGATCAAATTGAAAAATTTGAGAAACATGAAATGAGAGATAGTGCGGCAAATGGAAACGATACTTGTAAGAAGACCAGCGGTTCACCCATCCAGATATGCAAGGTGGAGGCTGGAGAAGAAGACACAAACGTGTTTAATGTTGAAAGGAACATGATAAACTTTGATTTGAAATCCAAAAGGTGGCTTTGACTATAGCGCGAATGGTGAAATGCTTAAGGCCAAAGTGCTTCCTTGTTCGAGGTAAGGTTGCTTGTGATATAAAGTACGTACTTCAATGACATACGCAAGCATATAATAGTATTTGGGAGGGAGTAAGAACTTCCATATAGCTTATTCGATATATTCGTGCCTCATGTCTTTTTCTCATGTATTAGATTCTCTTTTATCTTATGTTGAGGACTTGGAGAAGACGGGTAAAGAATACTATCTCCATTAGTATAAGACCTTTTGAAGAAACCAAAAATAAAACATCCTAGACTTGAACCGAAGACCTCACCCATAAAGTAAATCATTGAACCCACGATCCAACCACTTGGGAGACATGAGAGCTTATACTCAAAGTGGACAATACCATATTAATAGAGAGGTTCATTGTTCCTAACATGGTTTCAGTGTCATGCCCTTCTTAACTTAGTGTCTTCCTCAAGTGTCCTCAAGTGTCGGACAAAGAAGTTGTGAGCCTCAAAGGTGTAGTTATAGTGAAGATTTGTGATATCACATTGACTAATTAAGACGAACATCATGGATATATAAGAAAAGGACACTAAAAGTAAAACCATATGAGTTTATGCTCAAAGTGGACAATATCATACCAATATGGAGTTTTGTTGTTCCTAACAAGTAATAGTTTAGAATGAGTTAAATGACAAAGGCGTCATCGTTGTGCCAATTTAGTTGAAATTACATTGTGCATATATTGATTACCGTTAAGAATAATTTTTTAAAGTATTCGAGACATGCTCATCTGCTTGGTAGCTCTTTTATCTTTTGTTCAAGCTCAATCAAGAGAAAGTTGTTTGAGATGTTGTTTTAGCTGTTGCATTGGATTGAAAGCTAACACTTGAAAGTCATCCAAACATGTCCTTAATTGAATGAGTTTCATATCAATGCTACAAGAGCATTGTAAAAGTATGTATTATAAACTCATTCTTTACAATTTATTAGCACGGTGAGACTTAGTAGTGCTATGTATAAACAATATTTCCTTTTAGCTTTGTTAGTAAGCCACTCCTAAGTTAATCAACCGAGAATAATGATAGTTTTGTGATAGTTTTGTGAATTCAGATTTTGAAGAGATGAATGATGTTCTGTTATCTTTTTCGATAGAAAGACATTTGATTAAAAATGTACATATCAATATATATATTTGTTGCAAAGGAATCAAAGAAAGCAAAAAAGAAACTATGATTGATAGTGTAACTTCAAAGATTACAAATACTGGAATCAAACTGAACTACACAGGGGAAGAAATTAACAAGTGTAATTGTTTTGGCTTGCATTGCTAATAAGTTCATAATCAACCTCTTCTTTGATGTGCTCATAAATTTCTTCAGGTAATCATCCATGCGAGCGTAGTTCACCTCTGGATAAAGCTTTGAAGCTTCTTGTCCTCCTATTTCAAAGTTTGTCAAGCAGCCTTCAAAGAATATGCGGTAAAAGTATCCAACTTGTTTTTGTTCATATGATTGAAAAATTTGACAAGTTTTTGTTCATATGGTAAAAGACCTATTTGGTTTCTATTTATAGAATATGACAATTCTTATAGGTTTCTATTTATAGAATATGACAATTCTTCTAACTAAGCTTGCACCTATATTGGTAGGTAGGTAGATATCAAAAAATTTTCTTATTAAATTTACTTGATGATTCGAACATAGGACCTCTTGTGAGGATTACTCAGAGTTCGTAGGCCTTAGTCAATAAGGTCGCCCCTTAGGACTCATATTTGGATACAAATCTGGTTTTGCTATCTTTGGTTCCTAATTGTTTATAACACAAAGGAGATAACTTTTCCTTCCTTGAAAATTAGGGCTAAATTTATGTTCTAGTCCCAAGTATTTAAAAGCTTTTTTTTTATTGTCTTTTATCTTTTGACGCCGTCATCATCCACATAGAATATTGTCAATTTTCCCAGTGTTTAATTTTAAAGAATTTCCGAATAGGTAGAAGTTATTTTCCTTGTTCTTCCTCTTTTTTAGTGAAAAAAAAAATAGATAAACCTATCTAGCTTCTTAAAAATTAGATAAAATTCTAACAAATTTCATGAAAATAGCTTTTACAATTAAATATAAAAAAAGAATTATGTAATATTTATTGTGTAATTTAAAGTTAATGAAGAAAATATGCATTTATTTATATTTGAAAAAACATAACCATAATGTGTCGTATTCAAAGTTCTTACTTCACAATTTTGGAAATATTTCTAAAAAAAGGAAAATTAGAAACAAAAATAGTTATCAAATGCTACTATTTCTCAAAAAGCTGGAAAGGTAAACCAAAATATCATCAATCGATTCATAAAAGACAACAAAATCATAAGGTCTTACAAGGAAGAGAATAAAAAGATCTCAAAATAAGCTACAAGTGACCATGTTGACAATTTGTTGCATTTTTTTGTTCGACATTTACGACATTTTCATGTCGGAAAGAACTAAAGTAGTATGCATAACATATTGCTACTCGTGCGGATGAAACCTTCCGAAGTACAAAAAATGTTGGATGGCAATGCAAACAAGAGAGTTTACACCATGCTCATAAGAATACATAAATAAAAATTTACCAGCTCAAACAGTAACCTGTATTGAAATTTATGCAATTTGAAATGCCAACACCTCATGTGAGAAAAAGGAGAAGATACATTAACCTAGCAAGCCATCAACTTCATTCCCTTTTGAACCAAGAAGCTGATTTCCTTAATTAGCTTGGTCCATGGGAAGAGGAGCATCCACAAACTTAAAACATCCAAATACAGAACGCATGTACACAATAAAACCACCATACAAACATTACAGTAAAATGCAGAAAGTAATTGATTATTTCATTAGTTGTGTCTCTAGAATAGGTTTTCTGTCCAGTTATGCAAACCTGTTCAGTATGGAACAATAATGGATTCAATCAGCTCCTGAAGCGGAGCCAGCTCCCTTTTGTCAATTAAACCAAATTCCTGGAGAAATAGCACGGTAAACGAGTAAGATTCTTGCCAGATACAGGTGTTCTAGCCAAGAAAACATGATTGTAATATGTCAAAAGAGTGAACAATATAAACCATCTTCCTCCTAACAATAACTTCTAGATTAAATGCCACTGGCGGAATTTCTTAATCATTGAGTTAACATGTTCAAGAACCGACCAGAGCCATATAATTAATGTGCTTTCTAGACGTAATGGAAGCACTTGTTTTATTAAAATATATATATATATATATATATATAAACTGCCAGTAGAAATAATAAATTATAAAAATAAGCTAAATTGAATGACTGACTTACATGGGTAAAAAGTATGAAATGCTTGAAGCATGTATTTAAATGTGCCTCCTCCTTAAGGCTCACAATTTTCTGAAAGTGAGAATGATAAATGTGGGCGTATACACGGAACAACCTTTTAAATATCGTCTTCACAACCTCCTTGAAGTTTGGAGGAAATGGCGTACCTAACAAAGGACATTGAACAATAAATAAGAATAATCCAAGAAACTCAACTATTTTAGCAAACATGACTGATGATTACCAAGCTTTTGAGGGAATATTGATTCGTCATCGAGCTGAGATTCAATCCAATCCATTAAATATTCAACGTATTTTGAAGCAGAGACCTCAATAGGCTTTTTAATTTGTACACCATCAGCCCACCTATACTCATACCTGTAAAATTAATTTAAAACTTTTCAGAGGAACAGAGGATGGAGAAAAAATAAGAAAAAAAGATTCTCAAGGAAATTAGATAATCAAGCTCCATGTTCATACGTCAAAATAGGCATAATTTCTTGGAATGGACAGGGTTTGAAATGATCTAGGTATAAACTGAAACCATATTTAGGAGTTCAAAGAAACATTTCAAAACAAAGAGAAACGTCATCCAAATGCAAGGATATCCATATAGTCAACATTCAGGTATAAGCACTCAAAACCCACACTAAAAAGTTCTACACCTAAATTTATTACAAATAAATATAGCAGTAGAATCGGCAAACAAGCGAATGACCCTACAAAATACACTATTTTTCCTTGTATGAACCATCAACCATATAATACAGCAAGCAACACTCAAATAAATTGAAAAATTCCTATATTCAGAAAGCATGACAAGTTACTCAAGATAACTGTAGTCACACAAACAAGTCAAAAAAAAAAAAAAAAAAAAGTTGAAATGATTGAAAGGACTGTCTTGTACAGAGTAAATTTCTAATTTGTGTTAAACATCAGAAGAAACTCGACTATTTATCCAGTATCCCGTACTTGGGTCCAGCAGTCATTGTAGGACAATTCTCAGGAGTACAGAACTCTGTGAGGGTTCCATATAGCAAATTCACCTGGTTGAAGAAATCCACAGCTGAAATAAAAATTCAACCGCATTTTAGAGATTGATTTTACAAAGGATCCTGGCTAAATAGAAATGGTGAAAACATGTTCTGTGTTGACTGGATAAAGAATGTAACACCATTCATCAAGTACAAGGAGAAAAGAACCAAGCGTTTATGAGAGACATAATAAGCAGAAGGTATGATAATACATAGTCACAGAAATTGTAAAACCATTAACCAATTCATAAAAAAGGGCTTATCAACATGAAAGAGAGAACTGAAGGAGAGAGAACATAGAGAAGGCAGAATGTACAACTCACTGTTAACAGCCAGCCATTCATTCAAATCCTCCCCAGTTGGAAGTCTAACTGCTTCCCTCAAGTTTCCACTACCAAGAGTGGCATCAATATGCTTTCTGAGTTGAGCCCCCTGCAATAAGATAGAACATCAATGAAACACTCATCAAGAGAAGTTATCATAATAGAGTACCTTAACGGAAGAAATACAAACAATTTTCATTGACCTACATTTGAAGATTTGCATCATTTAGAACAAGAATACATATCATATCCCGATCTAGAACGTTAGCAGATGGCCACTTGATCAAAATCAGACAAAATAAAACTACATCATGAGAAACACAACTAATGGTTGATCTTTTCCCTATCAAATAAGCCTTGAGAACAGTGTTGAATAATGAAATAACTAACTTGACATTTAAAATTATATGGCCCTGGTAATCAGAGCTTTATTATCTCAGTATATTTTCCAAAACAACTTACTTAGCCTCTTGATAAAGGTGGTTGGCCGGAACCACAAACTCCAGGCAAAAACTTGAGTGCAAAAATGCCTTCCAGGTTTGCTTGATAGAAAACCATACTTCTAAAATTTTGGTATATGAACCCATCTATACATAAAATCTGAATCCTAGTCCACAGTTCAGACAGCTTTATAGAAGTCCAAAAGAAAACATCTAGATTTCCAACTAAAATGTTTGAAATTAGACCATTATCACAGTTGAGGTCTGCCTTCCAAACTAAGTAGCATCTTGACGACACCTTGCAAGAAGCTGAGTAGACATAATCAACACAAAGATTCTGAATTCTTTTTTCTTATTTTTTGAAATGGAGAAACATACTAAAAATGTTCAATCAAATTCTACCGTCTCCCACAGAAAAGTTAACACAAATGTACCTCGATGTGAACCAATTACAAAAGGAAAGTAGTTCTAAAAGAATTGAAATAGTCAAGTTTCAAACGAGCTCCATTCTCAAGGTTCAGGAAGGAGATATTCTTAGATTTTTCATCTGGTGGGAACATCACTCCTTTGCATCTCTCTTCCTTTCTTCTTCCTTAGGACCAATACCTTTCCCTAAAATAAGATCCTTCCAGCAAGGTTAAAAGACATGATACCCCGAATAATTAAAAGAGTTATTATGTGATTCAAGGAGACCGTTAACTTCCATTTCTTTCAGCACTAAGTTTGCTTCCATGGCTCAAGTCTCTTCCCCCTCATTGATGCAATGCCTCAAGTAAAAAAAAAAATCCTAAATAATCCACTTCCATCCGTAGCTCAAACCAAAGACGAATATCACTTATCCTCATACAAAGGCAAAGAGCAACGAACATGGAAGGTCAATATCAATGATCCTCACAGAAAGATGGAAAAGATCAGGATTAACCACCTTTCAGTTGCCTGTTATATCTAGCATTTGCTCCTACTCTTTTCACTGTTTCGGCTAACATTGAGATATAATTTCTGGTGAAGAGACCACATCGGTGGTTTTTCTCATGGAATATAATAAAGAAAATAGGTCCTTACAAATCACCACTTATAGTTGGGAGGTCGTTTGAAACAAAGCAGATGCATTCATTACAAAAAGCAACAAATGAAGAGTGTTAATTTAATATCACTTACATTTTTTTTTATGAGAAACACATATTCCTTCATTTCATTGATAATAATAAAAAAAAAGGGCAAACATGCCAAAAGAATAACAAAAAACACTTCCAATGAAGTACGATGAAGTTAATGTTCCATCTTTATAAGTAATAAGGAGGACAAACCTTACTCCCCGATGGTGCACTCTTTTTGGGGCGAAAAGTCCTTTGATTTCTGCTGCAAGACAATTTTTTGGGATGTATTACAGACAGCATATGTGGTTAAGGCATAAATAACACAGGCAAACACCGACATCAACAACTAACTTTCACT